GCAAAAGGACATGTATTACTTGAGTTGATTTATATGAGATGTCAATAACAGGCAAGGATAGAGACAAAATACATTAGCCATGTCGAATCTGGAGAACTTGGACAGAAAGGGAGTGGAGGTTAACATGTAAGGTTTCCTTCGGAGGTCATGAATATGGCTACTGATAGCTGCACAACTCTATAAATTTATTAAACACTGAGCCAGGTGTGGTGGTTCATGCCTTTAATTCCAGCACTCAGGATGCAGAGGCAGGCAGATATGATTTCAAGGTCAACCTGTGTAGCATGAATCTTAAAAGTTCTTATTAATAAAATCAAACCCGGAGCCAGGTATTGGGGTGAACTGGAAGATCAGAGAGACAGAACAAGCCACAGCTAACCTCACCTGGCCAACTTCTCAGCTGGTCTTGTTTCCTCAGACTGGAAGCCTCTGTGTCCTCATCCAGAATGAATCTCAGCTGAACTGTGTTGCTCCCAAGCCTGAAAGCTTAACCAGCCAAATGCTTAGCCAGGCCAAATGCTTCTAGTTTCTGGTCCTCACGCCTTATATACCTTTCTGCTTTCTACCACCACTCCCTGGGATTAAAGGTTTGCTTTCTGGGATTAAAGGCGTGATGAGTCACCATGCCAGTCTGTATCCTTGAACACATGGATTTCTGCCTCTGGAATGCTAGGATTAAAGGCGTGTGCTACCACTGCCTATCCTAAGTATACATTTCTTAACGACATCTTTACGGACTTTCTGAGAAACCCACATTCAGTTAAACGTTCATCTTCTACACTTCTCACAAAATCAGGAATCTTTCGGCCATAACTGTTTACATAGGCAACAGTTTTTATAATTGCCAGAAAAACAGGTTACTAGTTTCACTTTTCATAATTTAAACTCCTGCCCAATTATCTTAACCACCTAATTCTTTGTTTTTTAGTTACATGAAGTCATTATTGAAAGCTTTGTTTTAGCTATGATGCACACCTAAACCTGTGAACACATTTCCCAGCATCAAACAAGATTAAAAGAACTTGAGCTCTCCTGACTCTAGGACTCTATTGTTTTTCTTAGTCATTAACCTACACTACAGTCTATACGGCTCCTCAAGAGAAACTCCTAAGTCCTAGCTGCGTGACACGTCCTTGTTCCTATTTTCTATCCTCTGCAACCCCTTCTACAGGGCTAGGGGCAACACTATACTTTACCTTTACCTGTATTGATTTTCCCACTTCACTAACCTCTACCACAATCCCTTATTATATTTGTTAGAAATCCTTAATCATTAAAATTCTATTTAAAATAACACTATTATGGTATAAAATCATTGCTTCAGTTACACAGTACAGCTTAGGAGGAAATCGGCTCCATAATAATCCACAAGTAAAAATGTCCATTAGAATGGGATATTTCCAAGAGATAATCACACTACATTAGAGGCAGTGGGGATCTCCCCACACCCTTCACACCATGCCAGGCACCAGAGAAAACTGGCAGCGGCAAACATGGAAAGGCACAGCAGTGCATGAGACATTCTGGAGCTGAGGCCCTCAGGGGTGCGGGGCTTGCTTATCTGAGGGTGGGGGAGAGTCACCCATCAGCGTTTAGCTTCCTAAAGCTCAGTTGCCACTTGCTGCTCCTCTGACATGACCACCAGCACTACTAAAAAAGGCCACATTATTATTTCTAGGAATTTTGTCAGAAGACACTGAAAGTTCTAATAGGCAACAAGGTTTTACTTTTTTGTTGTAGGTTTTTGTTGTTTTTGGTTTTTTGTTCTATTTATTCAATTGCTTTTGAGACAGTTTCACTACACAGACCAGGCTGGCCTGAACTCATTACGAAGCCTAAGCTAGTTTTGAACGTAAGGCAATCCTCCTGCCTGAGCCTTCCAAGTGCTTTCATTACAAATATGAGGCACCATACCTAGTTTTAGGCAATAATATATACATTTCATATTATGATTCCCTTCTTTTATTTACCTGAAATAGTTTTATATCTGGACCCATCTTTATAATCTCTTTATTCAGACTTGTATTACTTCTTCCTGGAGGTATGAATTTTGGTTTTTTAAAAGAATTTCCCTGCACCTGACTTGGTGCTGCAGATCGCCTCATCTTCAGCAATACTAACCTGAAAAATACCAAAATAGAAACCATCCATGAATGTGATTAGAATTGTCCATAACTCCAGTCCCAAAGGATCTGACACCCTCTTCTGGCCTCTAAAGGTACCAAGTATACACATGGTACACATACATACATGGTGGCAAACAATCATACATATAAACTAAAAATAATATAGAGAACTTGGAGTTGGGGAGATGGTTCATTGAATAAAGTGGGTGTGTACAAGCATGAGGACCTAAGCTGGGAACCCCAGAACCCATGTAAAAGCCACTGCAGAGGCAGCATGAAGCAGTAACTCTAGATAGAAGGCGGAGAGAGATGCATCTCAGGGCTCACTAGCCAGCTGCTCTAGCCAAAACTCAAAGTCTAATGAGAGACCATCTTAAAAAAATAAGGCAGATAAGTGACTGAGAAAGACATCTCAACATCAACTTCTGGCCTCCACAAACACCTACGCAGGCAAGAGTAACACACACACACACACACACACACACACACACACACACACACACACACACACATGCCTGTGCACAGTCCTCAGTCCTCAAACAAGAAAAGGGAACAGCTAGAAACTGAAAAAAATTTCAAGGTTTATACTGAACTGTGCCAACTTGAGCATATGTCAATTTTTATAATGCTAGCATGTTTTCTCTAACTAATTTAACCACAAAAATCTAAAGAAAAAATTATCCACATAGACATATCAAGCATGTTGTACTTTAAAATTCCATTAATCCATAAAACACATGGTAACAACAATCATGTTTCTTTTCTTCACCATTCTTGTGGTGGTTTGAATAAGAATGGCCCCATAGGCTCATATATTTGAATACCTGGTCCCCAGTTGGTGGGACTATTCGGGAAAGATTAGTAGGTGTGGTCTTGTTGGAGGAGGTGTGTCACTGGGGATGGGCTTTAAGGTTTCAAAAGCCAGCACCATTGCCTTGTCTCTCTGCCTGTGGTTGTGCATCAAGAAGTAAATTCTCATGGTGCATGTCTTTAATCCCAGTGATCCCAGCACTTGGGAGGCAGAGGCAGGTGGATCTCTGTGAGTTCAAGGCCAGTCTGGTCTACAAAGAGAGTTCAGGGTAGTCAAAGCTATACAGAGAAACCCTGTCCCAAAAAAACAAAAATTAAAAAAAGTTCTCAGCTAGCACTCCTCCAAGGCCTGCCTGCCTGCCTGCCTGCCTGCCGCCATGCTCCCTGCCATGATGGTCACAGGCTCTAACCCTCTGGAACTGTGAGGCCTGAATTAATGTTCTTTTTTTTTTTTTTCAGTTCTGTTCCTCTAGAGAATACTAATACACTAATGATGTTTCATTATAGCAATTCTAAATATAACACAAACACAACTCCAGACACATTATATTCATCAGCAAATGTTTTGAATAAGTTAATAAGCAAAATAATGATAATTTAAGGCATGTTTATAATGCAATTTGATTTTATTATTCTATTTCCTTTTAAAACAGAGTTTTTCTAAGGTAAATCAAGGGATTGGAACAAGCTTTTCTAATTTTTCTCAACATTATTTCCACTAACATGGGTAGGGGAGATAGATATCAGAAACACTGCAAGATAGATAGATAGATAGATAGATAGATAGATAGATAGATAGATAGATAGATAGATAGATAGATAGATAGATAGATAGATAATGTATCTATAATGGATAACAGCCAGTACTTCACTGCAATTTTACAAAACACTGGACAGCCATTACCAAGCATATACATAGTTATCAAAATCATTTAATAAACCCAGAAATTCAACTGTTGGCATATGGAAGTGTCAAAACTATGCTTAAATGATTATGTATAAGTACCTTAATCATACAACTACGAGATTAAATATTTCAAGAATTTAGAACAAAACTTGACGCACTCAATAGTTTCTGAAATATTACTACCTATAATCACGGCTGTCTCTTTAATCCACAAAATTCTATGAGAGGAGAGACGACAAAAGTCCCATTGGAGGAGAGACAGAAGGATGTAGCTCTGCCTACAGGATCATAACCAGAATCTATGCCTTCCTCTGGACATCACTGAGGAGAGGGTGTGTGCAAACTCCAGGATGCCGGGAAATAAAGAAAACTCCACCAGCCAGCAACAGACCTCCCTTGCTGTGTCAGCTTTTTGGCTTCCAGCTACATTACATAGCTGGAATTTATACTCTAACTTTTCGGACTCAGGTCCACCTGCCTACAAAATCATCCCTAATTAATTTAAATTTTGTTTTGGGGGGTGGGAGGAAGAAAGAACCAGTGGGTGAGTAAAATCGCCTCAGGAAGGTGCTTGGATGGTTCTGTATCGACTTGTCACCTGCCTGGACGTGATGGGGCCAGAGCCTTTCTCAGGCCCAGTGCAGCCTCCAGGGACACCGGGGACCGGCCTCGGGGGGGGGGGCACCGGGGACCGGCCTGGCGGGGGGGGAGCGGCACCGGAGACCGGCCT